GCCTACAAAAGTATTTAGGATGATATAAGCAAGCACTTACTTTCTTTTTACTTGTCTGAGAACCCCTTCCCTTGCCTCAGTCTCTAAACATCTTCATCTGTATCTGTGACTGGGCCGTGCTCATCAGTCCTCTGTCCCAGCATAGCGCATCCTTTGTTGCACCAATTAAAGCAGCTAAGAGCACTGGAATGCTTTAATTCCACAGGAGGCTCTTTCCACCCAACTCCCCCGTGTAGGATTGGATTCTTTCTTTGCCTCTGTTCCCTATCCATAACATGTCCTATGGCAGCATCTTGAGCAAGTCACTACCACACTTGATTGCTTCACTTTCTCTTCCTACTGGAGAGTAAGTTCTGCAAAGGAACTCACCTGCCTGTCCAACAGGCTGGGTGCTGTTAAACTTGGCAGGCACACAGAGAGCTTTTCAAAGATGAATTATCACCTCAGGCATGATAAGTCCACACTTAGACGGAAGAAGTCAAAGGTCAAAGTATAAGACCCAATTAAAAATAGATTGGGTAAAGATTGAGAAAAGCTTTTACTGAGATTTTGAGAGCTTTATGAAAAAGCAAAGAGGACATTCCCAAAGGATTAAAAATGTGTGCCCTCTGCTTTTATTACCATGTGAATAACTAGGAAATGAGCATTTTACTTCTGGAGAAAGGGTCTTCTGAACTTTCAAGAAGGAAATTGAATACAAAAGAGTTGTTTTCACCTATGTTATGAGCGAGTTGTACTTCCACATTGTCATCTGTGACTTCTAAAGTAGCCTATTTGGTTCAGTAAACTGGCCATTTTCTCTTAACTCATTTGCCTAGAAAAATATTTATTTTTTATCTATCTGTCCTCTGAACAGCATCCTGGTGGGGAAGAAGTCTTAAGGGAACAAGCTGGAGGTGATGCTACTGAAAACTTTGAGGATGTCGGGCACTCTACAGATGCTAGAGAATTGTCCAAAACATTTATCATTGGGGAGCTGCACCCGGTAAGCACCTTTGTGGGGCCTTGTTTCTCTTTAAGGCTATGGGTTGACCTTACTCAAATCTGTAGACTTGCATATTACAAAATTTTAAAAGGAGTAAAGCAAAAAACTTTAGAACACCATTTTTGTCATAAATACATTGACCAGAAATTTCTTTGCATCCTATGGCTGCATTTTTCACCCCCACACTTAGGATCTTCTCATCCCAGGGTCATGTCCTGGGGACAGGGCATCTCAGAGTCTGAAGTATCCCTGAGCAGCAGATCTTAGAAGGTAGAGATATAGACCCAGAATAGTTCTATTTTTAATTTTTTTTGACCAAAGTATTTTTCTTTAAAAAAAAACCCTTTCTAATTTTCTGTTTTCATTAGTGTGAGGATATTTTAATTCTAAAAAATGATTTAGAAAAAAAATCAGCTGTGTTAAATGAAAAGGCTCTGACTCCTGTACAGCCCACACATGGTCCTCCTCATTCTTCTCACTCTCCCTCAGACCTTTGAGGACATCACCTTTGGTGCCAGTCTATGGACTGACTTTGGGAAAACACAAGCCTGTTTCAGCTTTTATGTAAACCCAGGGCTATAATAGGAGTTTAGAATCTTCTGTGGCATTTTCAAATGACCATTTATAACTTCACTTATCCACCAACCAGTTATCAAGGATAAAGCTGCAAAGTTGGAGAAAAGTAGTGGAATTCTCTGAGCATCCAAAGCAGATAGGTGGGTCCCTCCTAACTCCAGAGAGTGCATGGACCTCTCCTTTGAGCCAGTGAACACCTTTCTCCTTCCCCGGCTCGGGGCGCATTACCAGTGGCCAAACTGAAACGGTGGCGGTGCCGCCAGAAGTGGGCTCTCTGACAAGAAGGCAAATAGTCTTAACCCCGGTGAGCACACGAGAAACCATGAGAAAAAACAAAACACCGTACGAAACGTTTCATCGTGTACGATTGATGTTTCTTGTAATGACCGTGAATGCAGGAGAGCTTGAAGTAGGCTCTTTGTGGAAGGCCTGAAGGTAGGAAATCCATTTTAGAGCAGTTTCCTTTGAGTGGGGAGGTGGTTCTTGGTGGTAGGAGATGGTACTTTGAGAGAGTAAGCTTCCTTTATCTGGACAGTTTATTTGCCCACATATTTTCATCTTTATCTTTCTATTTCCCCAAAATGAAGTAATCAGACTATCAGAGAGGCTTACCCTTAAAATGTTCCATCCTGTCCTTATTCTTTCCATTCCAAAGCTTGTTGGGGTAGAGCAGGTGAGTTTTCAGGCTGTGACTACAGCATCTCTGCCTCACATGCCGACTGGGCTCACCTGTGGTCAGCCTCAAATGTACTTTATTTTGAATTGGCTCAGCTGGAAGTTTAAGTAGCTTATGACCCTCTAATTGGGAGACTGCAGGAATTCACTGAGGATGTCATACAGGTCACACACACACAAACCCCAAAGGGAATTTCAGAAGATAGAAGAGAAGAACCTGATTAGGTCTTAGCTGCTCCCTGAATTACAAATCAGAATCTAAGTCTAGTAAGTGTGTGTACAGATCAGTGTGCACATTTGACTATCACGGCTATTCTAAACTTTGGAACTCTAAATCGAAATACCTCTTGGCACTTAATCTGCTATTAATTTTTGCAGTCAAATGGATCAAACTGTGTGTTTAACAACCTAGATAGAACCTGAAGTGCTAATTACTAAACAGTAATTTTAAAAAAACTCAGTAAAAGCAGGCACTTTGGAAATGGTACCTTTGCAGATGTTTTTCCTTTCATGTAATGTGCCCTTTTTTTAAGTCCTGTTTCTCCTTTTTTTTTTTTTAATAGTCAGTTTACAATGTGTCAATTTCTGGTACAGCATAATGTTTCAGTCATACATTTACATACGTATATTCATTTCTATATTCTTTTTGTAGTAACCTATAATGTATCTTTTTTTTTTAATTGCAGGATGACAGATCAAAGATAACCAAGCCTCCGGTAAGTGTGGTCTTCTGCAGTACTTGTTGACTATAGTTAATCTTCACTGTATTTCATACCCATCAAACTGGAGGGCAAAGGTCATTTACTTACCTGAGTCCAGCACGGGTCTTTCTAGGTTAGATGAAGATGTAACCTGTTGGCTCAGAAAAATTTATTTGTTTAGACCCGTCATTATATTTCAGTAGGATAGTTTGCATGTTCTCTTCACAAGACTCTCAATACTTAAAATAATTTTTTCATCATAATTACCAACAGATGCCTTTTGAAGAGCTACTTTTTATAAATAGTACTGTGCTTCTAACTGAAAGATTTGACACAAGGCTTCTTTTCAGAGAACTGAAAATCTGAGCAGAGGTCTTAATACTTTGGCAGGGGGAGGGTATAGCTCAGCAGTAGAGTGTGTGCTTGGCATGCAGAAGGTCCTAGGTTCAATCTCCAGTACCTCCATTAAAAAACAAATAAACCTAATTAGCTTCTCCCTAAAAATAAAAAGATTTTTAAAATTAAATAATTAAACTTTTGAGGACACTAGCCATGTCTTCTCATCTCCATGGCTCTGGGACATAGTAGGTGTTCAATAAATATTTGTTGGTTGAATTTAATGCTAATTAAATAATAACTTTTTGGTGCATTTTTTCCTTAGGAAAGGAAAATCTAGTAATGGTAATTTTATGCCCCTGTGTCATTAGCTCTCCTCTCGGCTGACCAGCTCACTTAGACGACTGAGTCCCTTTTTGAGGCTACTTTCTGGACAACTGAAATTCTGCACAACATGAAGTTTTGCTTTTTCTCCAGTCTGTCAGGGAAGAAGTAATTTTTCCTGTTAGGTGTTCAGTATGTTAGTAATCTTGGTGCTTATCATTCAGCTTTGGTAAAGCAAGGATTTGGTTAGGCTCATTACATGAACTTAGAACTAATGTGGATCCAGCCGTGTCCCGAACCATGATTCCTGTCAGCAGAAAGCACCGACTGGGACTGAATCTCTCACATAACTGCTCTACCTCTGAAAGACAGCCCCTCTCCTCCTTTAGAACATATGTGACTGGGGTCGCTGGAGGAATGTGGGCCAAGAACCTGCTGTTTTCCTTAGAGGCCAGAAGCCATCCAATGAAAGAGCAAACATAACCACTTTTTAGACTTATCTTTCTTGTGCTTCTAGTTGATCAGAGGAAGAGAATGTCCTTCATTATTTCTTCTGTTGTGTCTGTATAACCACACCATCTGTCCCCAGGCTGATAAGTGTATGCTGTGGTCTGAATTTTTGAAATGTTGCCTGCTTAAAAGATCTAGTTGAATTGTGAAATAAGATGCACTGGAGATACTTAGCTTGAACCTGCCTAAAGGGAAACATGCCAAGTTGTCAAGTTAAGACATTTGTAGGCACAGATCATGCATGTTTAAATAAGCAAATATATATCTATCAATTTGCCTACGTGGAGAGTATCGGTGGTGGCAGTATCTTTCCATGTTTGCAGTTTTCAAAGCCTTGCTGTATAAGTGACTTGATTTGGTTCTTGTGATATCCCTGGGGATCCATGGTCCTTTCAGGGAACGTGAGACAGTGAAGCTCAACCCGATTCCAAGCCTTGACCTTGTCGAAGGCCACTGCAGAACCACACCGAGCACCCACTTCAGGCTCAGTGGTTGCAAGTCTCTCAAGCCTTTGTAGGCTCTAGCCTTTGCGTGGAAGGCATCACTGCCTCAGAAGTATTTTGGGGAAAGTTCTCCAATGAAGGAATGGGCTAAGTTAGATGAACTTATAGATGAGATGACTTTGACTTGCAAAAGCCTGGTGGTCTTTGCATGCCTATATAGAGAACTTACTATGTGATAATTTAATCGTTAACCTTTTTCTGCTTGAAATTGAACCCTCAAGGTCACGGAGTGAACAGGAGGCAGAGCCTGTAACAAAGACTGGAGTCTTCTCTCCCTGTTTATTGACATATTTGGTAGTTACATTCCAAAACCCACCCGAGGTCCAAGTGCTAAGTGGTAAATCAAATTTAACTCTGAAGCACCCCTGGATTAAGAGCCTATCAGGTAGTGAGCAGTCAGAAGTACATATGATCTGTTAAAGCTCAGCTCTCTGGGGGATAATTGTGCCTGGCGGTGATGACGTGCCCCCAGGGCATTAGTGCTCATGGTGACAGTGACAGTGGAGGAGGGCAGGCGAGCTGCTTTTCATATAGAATTATCCACATGTCTGGCGAAATGCATGTGCTCAGTATAACGAAATAACAGATCCACGTTTGCCTTCTGTTGACTCTTTCAGGCTTAACTTTCTAGTGTGACAGTAACATTTTACGTTGAATGAACTGTTGTATTTGTTTCAGAATTGATTGTGTCTTCCTTCTAATAAATAGTAATTTCTCATTGTCCAATTACTTCTAGTAATCCTTGTTAATTTTATTTATCTGTACAAAATTTGAAAACTAATCTTGCAGTGGTTACGAATACTTTTTGTAGTCTCTAAGATTTAATGTTGCTTAAAAAGATAATAAATGTGAAGTTTTCTTTTGAAATGACTATTTTTTTTCCCTCCTCCTGTGTCAGAAGTCTTAAAGGTCATGTTTCCAGGTTGGTGGGTCTCATAACTGCTTTGCTTGCCCCTCCCTGAAAGGTTTCTGCCTTTTCACGGGAGGGTCTTTAACGCGCCTTGCTGTGTGTAGCTTTGCCTCACTACAAACCGCTGATTGTTTTGCTACTGGTTTTTTATCTTGTGCTTTGGAAAACTGCAGAGAGAACTCTGCTTGTTTTTGGCTACCATCCTTTGAGGCACTAACACTTTTGCTGGTGTGGAGCTTCAGAAGAATGCTTCTTAACACGTTTTCAGGCCCAGAAAAGCTTCCATTCTCACTAGACCTTAGTTATCCCACTATCTGGGGAAGCAGACATCCTAGAGCCATCCATAGTTCACTTTCACGGTACTGACAGGAGGGACCTCAGTGCTGGGAAGTAAAACAAGCTGCAATCATGAAACACCCTGGCATTTGGAGGTTTCTTGGTGGGTGACAGTGTGAAGTAAGCCTCTGAGGCTTCCAGTGTCTTTCTGGAGCCTTCTTGCCATAGTTAAAGAAGGCCAGGAAAACTAGCCTAGAGTGTTACAATGTAAATGACACTTACTCTTTTCTTTTTGGCCAATATATCTTATAATCTGAGTACACTTACTTCGTATGGGATTTAATAAAATAACTGATGTTTTGTTGAACGTTTCATTCATGCTTTCAAACAATGGAACTGCTCTCTTTAAAGGTAATGATAGGTTCTGTGTATGTGTAAATGATACCTGTGTTCAGTTTCTACATTAAAGTATTTAGATGTCTATTGTGTGCAGAATATTTTAGGTAGCCTATTAATTTTTAACATTTTCTTTCAAATTATCTAGGTTATGTTCATAAATAATTTAAATATAGGTCATTCTTAAATTTTTTTCTTCTGAAAAAATGGTGAAATTTTGGGCATTTAGATGAAAAGACATTTATGATACAATTTTTCCTTTCAACGTTTTTTGAGGACTGCATTGAATAAGAAGTGAATTGAATAACCTATTGTGATCTTGTTTTAAAACAGGTTTTAGTCAATTTTATGTGTACTTGTATGTTCCCTTTAACTTACTGTTTCTCTTGGTTTCAGGAAACTCTTATTACTACTGTTGATTCTAATTCCAGGTATGTGGTAGTTTTCTTTCAAAGCATTATTGTGATTAGAAGGCTTCTAGAACAAGGGTTGGTCTGGGGACCTCTTCCCTCATCTGAGGAGCCTCTGATCCCAGGCTCCCACTGTGCCCCTCTAGCGGACACCCCCAGGGTCATCTCCACTAAGCACCCAGACGACACAGGGCCTTCCCTCCTGAACTGTCAGACAGCTCAGACCATGGACACTCTTCAGAACAACCACAGGTCTCACCCTCCAGCTGCATCTGCCTTAAGGAGCAGAACAGACCCACTCTCCTTTCCCCGCACGGCAGCCCTGTGACCTGGGCAGTCTTTTAATCTCCAGACGCAACATTCTGTTTTCTTCCTCACCAGATATGTGGTCAGTTTCTTAAATTGTCGTGATTGTATCTCCCTGAGCGTGGCTCAGTTTTCCCTTCCTCCGGTGGGCCCTAGAGTTGAACCCAGAAATCCAAGTGTGTAGCATGAATCTCTTGTTCTAGGGACTAGATTCATTTATTATAGTCCAAGATCATATTGACATTTTTGGCAGCTCTGTCATACTGACTTGTATTATTACCGTCATATGTATAAATAAACAAATATACATATATATGTATTTGGACCCAAGATCAAAGCCACACTCCTGCCTGCTCTGCTTCTCCCTCTTGGATACCACTGCCCCCGGCTGTCCGTGTCCTGGTGCTTCCCTTGCTTTTCACTCAAGTGTCTCCTTCTAAAATGGAAACTGAAAATCCACCAAGAAGAAATTTACACTTGTAGTCCTTTTGCAGTTAAAATCATTATATTGAACTTGGTCTTTGAATGGGTTGACATGTAAAGAGCATTAAAGGATAAAAAGTTTATGACGGAAAATCTATGTATATGTAGGTGTTACCTGTCTCTATTCAAATTCTAAAACCTACATATTAATTTGTTTTCCAAGAAATTATAGGTTCAAATCTATATTGAAGGTCTTCCTAGCTCTGCCCCTGATTTGATTCATAGTCTGTCATTTATAGTAGATCAAAAATTCTGTGCACCGGGACTGAACGAAGAGTAAATGAGGGATTTTTGTGACTTTACAGCTGTGGACCACAGATTAAGTAGTTTGGGCGTGCTGTTTCTTAACACTTTAAACCTGCCACACACGTGGGAAGATTAGATTTTCAAAACAGAATCACAGAGGGAAGAGCTGTGATGCTAGCAGGAACCTTAGTAATCATATGCCTCAAACTCCCAAATTTTATAGCTCAGGGACATGATTTGTCCTTGGCTGATAGAGCTTGCTGACGGCTCTCCCGAGATGAGAACCTTGATCTTCTGGTTCTCAGTTCAGTGCCATTTTTCAATTCTTAATTAATGGATGTAATTAGACTAAAACCTGTTAAGAATATTCACTTTTGTGAACTTGTGGTGCTTAACCCAGATCTGATGTCCTTTGGATAAGTCACTAGTCTTAGGTGGCGTCTGCTGTGGGGGTGATTCATAGCTTTGTGTAAGTGCACAGAAGTAGATGTAAGTGGACGGGTAAGTTGTTAGTTTTCTTACGAGGCTGGGGGCCAGAGCAGTTGCCAGTGTTCCCGGATGTGTGTTGTATGCA